GCAGGGTGGACACCGCGGTGGCGGATTCCCTCGGCTATGTCCACGTCGTCACTGCTTAATTAATCACCCCATGAGGCCCTTGTCGCGCTTGTCGTCTCGCTGCCACGTCATGCTTCGCTGTTGTCTCACTGCGCCTCAGCACAATAGCAGCCAGTGTGCCGGATCCGGTGCCGCATCATGCGAGCCGACCGGAAGCCCGTTTCCCGTCGCACCGGAGGTTGGATCCGGCGAATCAAGCGGCATGGCTAGGCGTGCGCATTTGGTCGCTAAGTCACTAGGGCCTCGCTGCGCCGTCGCCTCGTCGTTGTCGCCGGCCACTCGAGCTTCCCGCGCCGGACCACGCTTCCGCCCCCCAGTGGTTCCCCGAGTCACGTACACGGCGGCACCCCCTCTACTCCATTCGCTTCTTGCCGTCTCCCAGGTGAAGCAAGACCATCCCTCTCCTGTCTGTTGTTCCTATTGCGGTTTCCTCTGTGTTCCTCTTTTGATTTGTGCTGCAGGTTGATGGATTCATTCCATTTGTACAAGGAAAGCCAGGTGCTTACTCTTAATCTCCATTTCCATCTATCCATCTATTACTCACTACTGTACATATCAATATATCTATTTGTTTCCCTGCATTGGGAACACCTGTGTAACTTTGATTTACAGAGCTGCTCTTCATTTTCATGGCAGTACGCGTTATTTCCCCACTAATCCCCATCCCCATCTCCTTTGCCGCTTGAGTTACTTATTTAATTAATGCACTTGGCAAAACTCATCTTTGCATCTAGGGATGAAATAATTCTATCTTTAATTAATCATGGATATGCAAGTTCCTTTTAGTTATCATTCTATCCCATGCGTTTTCCACCTTCACAGTGTTAGCTTGGTTGCACTGCGGTTGCCATAGCAATGAGCCACAAAGTTTTGCCTCACATTTTTCCCTTCAATGTGTAGGTTTTGATGGGCATGGTTATAAAATAGTTGCATTTGTTCTGATGTAGATGGTTGTCGGCTTTTTGAAAGAAAAAAATGTATGCTTAGTTTCTAGGCTATCTTCCCATAATTATGGAGTTACAATTAATTTCTTTTAGTGACATACTTCTTATATTAATACCTGAAGTGCAATATAGACATGTATCTACGTGTACTCTAAATTATACCACCTCTAGAATACAAGCTTTTGAGTGCTATATACATTTACAATGTTATCCTGTAATTTTCATGTAGAGTTCATTCCAATTTAGTTAGGACTGTAAAAGATATCAGCAGAGTTGAACCTTGCATATGATATCTAACTTACATCCTGGATTGTAAAATAGATATGGAGGAGTACTTGGCGCAGGAAGACCGTGCCACACAAATGAAATACTCCTCCTTCTTGCCTCAAAATCAAGGAAATCACTATAAATTCTAGAAGCTGGCACAACATATCGCGCTATTTGGATGATTTCAGGAACTACTATTGGCTATCAAAAGTTTGTGCAGGTTGAGAACTTCTAAATGGTCACTGAGTTTCTATATCTGCAACTTGATTACAAAAATATAGGTAAAAGACGATATTCAATAGGCTATTAAAGTTCTTGTCTGCAAATTCTAGAAGCTGTCCAGACTACATATTAAGGAAGATGCATAAGTAACAATTGCAATTATAGGTTCCTCAGTTGTTTGCTTACTGAATATGACTTTACCATGCGCGTCGTCCTCTTTATGAACTTTTATTTAACTTTGTCAATTGATATATGCCCTCGCTAAAGAATATGTTCTTGCCATGTGTACATGTGACAATGAGATGTCCCGTGTAATATATTATGTCCATATTAGATTATTATTTTATTAGTTGTTTCATGCAGTATGAATTGTCAGCTCTTTCAATACAGAATATTATCTATACAACTTCTCTCATTTTCTTATGTTCATTCATTTCCTTAAAATGCAGACCCATAGTCAACTCTCAATGACAGGTACCGTGCATTATCTTCAATTCAATTCTGTTTTAACCATAGTCCTATATATGGATCACAAATTTGTAAATTTTATATATGATGGTAGCGAATAGTATTAAAAGTTTCAATATTATTTTAATGAAATTCCACTGCTTTTATTGTCATTGTTATATTACAGATTGCTGTGAGAAAGTAGTAATTGACAAGGGCGATGTTGCCAAAGGGCTTCACGAACTTGTCACCCACTATAGCATAGCCAAGCTTGTAGTGGGAGCAGCAGTAGATGAATACTACTCAAAGTATGTGTCACAATCTTGTATGCCACACTCTGTTTGTTTGTGCTGCTAGGCTCAAGATTTGCCATGATCCACCATTGCGGCAGCCTCATCCAGGCGTCGTTCAGGCAAAGCCCCATGTGAGACGTAGTACCAGGTTTTCCCTTTCTTCCTTCTCCTAATCCATCTCCATAAATTGGATTAGAGTATTCTAGGTCCGCCTCATAGTCTGCCACCACATATTTGATTGTCATATGTTAATAAATTGGATTAGCGTATTTTAGAGCCTCTTCATAATATGCCACCACAAATTTGATTATCATATGTTAGTGTCTGTCTGGCTCTGGGATTGAATTGTCATGTCCTATTTGGAGGCTACGACCATTGTACTAGACCCAGTGCATCCTTGCAGAGGTCCTCTGCATTGCTAGACATATAATGAGGTGACCATCCAATGTGAGGCCATGCTTACAATCTATGGAATTCGGTATGCCAAAAATTTTGGTTTACCGCCTCATTTTACCTATGTGGTAGTAGCACTAAAGTAACGGCGCTGTTTTTTTTACCAAATGAAATAGTCTACATGATTACGTTTCACACATGATTTGCATCCAAAGATGATAGGTGTCTATGCATGTTACTCTTGATTTCCTTCGCCTTACACACCTATACCACAAATAAGACTGAATTGAGCCATGCGATTTTAGCTCTCTGTGTTTAGTCGATCCTAAATGTTGTTCGAACTATGCACCTTACCTTCAGGTGCCTTAAATTGTCATGGTGTTTCTCATATTGCTAAACTAATTTTATGATACCTCATAACTGCCATCATATTTTAGCAATTTGCGTCTACGATTCCAACATTTAACTATTAACGAGTGTTTCTTCTATTGTACATCTTTGATGACTAGTACCGTGACATGGGGATATATTTTAATCCCTTTGACCCAACAAGAGTTTTGTTTGTAAACTAAAGCTAGATGGTTTTAGTTGCCCGTTTCCTTTTTTTTGCATTTCCTACCCTTTGCGATAATGGAAAATTGTAGTAATATATTTGCTTATGCACATAATACGTTCCTGGCATGTACCCCTACTATTAATTGGTTCTAATTTGGAAAGCACTTTACATAACTTTCTCCTTTGCCAGGGATCAGATATTTCATCTCTTGTGCAATGCCTTGCCCTTTATCTGACTTCCTTCCCTATCCTTTGCAGGCATTAGATGCCATTTCCCTTTTTGTTTACAAGAATCCAAGCTCATTTTGATCCTACCCTTATATTATGCAGCATATTATGATATATTTCTGTTTCCATACAAACTGAGATCAAGACTGATTATGCTCACGTACGCCATCTTTATCATTATATTATCTGCCGCTGCCTGCAATTCTGAAATTATTTTCCTCGGATTCAATCTGATATATTACAGGAATTTGTAAACCTCATTTGCCTTCCTGATTATTTAGTGGACATGTTTAGATTTTTTTGCCAGCCCTTATAACATGGGAGTCACTATGCTAATACAATTGGTAAACTATGCTATTATGATCTATCCTTTTCCTTTAGCTCAGTCCAGGAAGGTATTTGGTTTCCTTTTGATTTTTTTTCTCATTACGATTGTGATTCGCCCATTTATACATGGAATTATTTAGTTCAAGGGACATGGTTGCTTCAATCCTCTAAAGAATGTCCTTATTTAGTGTTCTATCTGATTCCCTGAGAGGTGGAATTCTTAATTACCTGATCTAGACAGAGATCCATCTTGCGGCATCAATCTACATGCCTGCAGGACTAGATGATCCAAATGAACCACGACATTTCGTATATCTTTTGCTAACTTGCTTTAGAGTTAGGTATTGGAAACTAAACAACAACCAGAAAATATTTCTCTTTCATTGCTTTCTGTATCAGGCAAATTTGTCCTTAGTTCCCTATTGAAGACTATTTTTAAATGACACCTTTTTGTTTATTGTGTGTATATTCAGTCTGTTTCCTTCAATTAAGATAAAGAGCATTGCCAAGATTTTATATAAGAGACTTTGCTTCTTCAGCCTGGGCACCGTGTCATATTGCTTGCCCTTCTTAGCATGTTTGCCTCAACTAATGGTGCATACCAATCTTTCTCGAAAGTCAACTTGGTTAGTTCTTTGATGCCCTGAGGTCGATTCCTATAGAACTGGTGATTCCTTTATAGTTAGTAGTGTAAATTTGCTCTATTTTAGTGCTTCCATCACATTTGGATGTGATTATTTATAAGCTTCCATAAGGCCTATGGTACTAAAAAACAATATGGTGTTAATAACAGGTGCAAGTTTTCCTATGCCTTCTGAATGGTTCCCTATGCTATTGCATTGCTCCATAAGATGATGTAGCTTCGCTGAAATTAATAGGTTCACAGATTCAAAAAAAAAAACCAGGGACAAGGGTGCAACGGTACATTCATAAGTATGTCTAAGGTATTTTGCTATTTTCTTGCTTGTAAGCTGTTCTTGATTAGTGCTATGTGCTATGTGCTATGGATAGTACCATCATAGGCTGTGAGCTCGAATTTGTTCAGGTCAATTTGTGCTATGGGCAGTACAATCATAGGTTGTGAGTTCGAGTTTGTGACAATACGAGAACTTGCCTAAATCTAGTTATGGAAGCCTGATACCTCACTCTCTCCTGAATCGTCATGAGTAAGTATTGCTCATTAGAGTTCATAGCTCAATTTAGTGTTTAGTGCTTGAATTTACCATTTCTCACATAATGTCGGATACTTTTGTCACTGATATGCGAGGATCTGCATAATTTCGTGTCAGAATACATGAATTGGGAGGAACTGCATAAATTCCCACCATCTATTAACCTGCATTGGAGAAGGAGGCCTCATTGGACTAGGAGAAGTACATGAAGGTGAACATCAACATTCTCGGAGGTACAGATCTCAGTTTTCACTTGTGATAATGTAAAGTTACATGATTATTGTGATAATCTGATGGTCTTTCACCACTCCTGATTTTAGACAATACATTGGAATTTTGTTAGATGATCTTGCTCCATTTCTATGATTTTAGAAAAGTAAAACATGGCATGCTGTCTGTGAAGTTTGTTGCATCCTAGAGTTAAAGCATTAGGCTAGAAAGACGGTCTAAAATAATCATTGATGTGATTTTTGTATGACTAAATCTAGGAAATCTTATCACAAAACAGAATAATGGATTTAGTGGACCAATTTTCATTGCTTGGTAGATTCAATTCTAATTTAGCAGTGTGCTATTGTATATTGAGTTAGCAAGCCCTAGATATGCATATTCAGATCTATAAACTATTTTGCTCTTGCTGAAGTTGAGCGCCTTGACAATTCGTCGTTCAGATATTTTCTTGGGGAACTATATGGTGACAATGCACTAAGAACCATGATCCCCTTTGGTCTGCCTAGCCCCGCCTGTGATGCTAATGTGCCGTCAAGTGGGCCCCCTTGTGTGACGCATTGTGGACTACTCCCTGGCACAACCGGTAACCGCGCTGCAGCCACCTCTCCCTTCCTCCTGTTGCTCCCCTCTCGTAGCAGATGTACCGGTACCAATCAAGAAGTAATTCAACATTAGATTCCTATACTTCAAATTCGAGATTTTGTTTTTGTATATCACGGAAAGGTCTATAAAGTAGAGTTTGTAAGCCTGTGACGTCGCGCTCTCCGTGACTGTAATTTCATAAACTTTGCTTTTTGGATTAACGGTAACTTTAACGTTGATATTTAATTTTTACAGTATTGTTATCTTATCGTACGATCCGTGTGTTTTTAAGTACAAATTGTTAGCTATCCCGTAGCAACGCACATGCACGCTACCTGGTAATAAATAAAGGAAAGGACAACAACATGGTATGGTGTTCACAATACAATTTTGGAGTATTTTTCTCTTTCCCGGCCCGTCACCTAACGACTAGCGATCATCAACTGTACGTACCTCAAGCACGTCACCGACGTTCATGATGAAGGCGGCGTCCACGGCGTCCACGGCGAACCACCTGCCGTCCTTCTTGACCTGCAGGCCCTGCACATCGTTGTTCATCTGCAGCAGCAGCGTCAGGCCAGACGCGTCGGTGTGCGGCGACAGGCCCAGCACCCGTTCAGCTGCCTGCCGGTACGGCGGGTAGTAGTTCACCCTCATGCCCTGCTCCAGTCCTTCTTCGAACAAGCCGCGCAGCGGCGCCGGCTCGGCGCCCGTGGCCTTGGCCATCAGTTCCAGCAAACGGAATGCTAGCCTTGCTGTCTCGGAGGAATAGGCCTCTACGGAATTCCTAATGAATTTAATGGAAACTTGAGATTATTTTCTACAATTCGTGTCTATATACTGTAAGATATGCGTTAAATATGTGTACTGTTTGGTTACACTACGATTTGAGTTGTATTATTAGGGCTAGAATAGAATTGAAGTTGAACCCTATATTCTAGCTAAGGGGCCATAAATGTGAGACAACCCTGTTGTAACCATGATGATGACTTGGCGGTGGCGGCAAGGCTGTGAGAACACGCTCGGATGCTGGGGTAGCTGCTGGTTTATGGGGATGAGTGCCAGTAGTCATGCCCTGAGTAAGACATATCCTGAACATCGTTAAAAAATATCGTGTCTCTGGTTTGTGTATTTTCTTCTACGATGGTTATGCTTCCACGTTCTTTGGTTTGTGGATCCGTTCACTCTAACATGTGCAAAGAAGGAAAAAAAAAGGAGTGACGTTACCGTTACCTGAAGGACACTGAGGGCGAGTAGGCCAGACGCGCAGGTCCCTCGACTCACTCGGCTGAAGCTGAAGGTGCAGCATGTCTGCCCAGTCCAACTTCTGATCCTCGGACACAACGAAGGCCTGGCCGTAGCCTTGGACGCTGTCAGCGCGCTGTGCCCATTGCTTCTTGGCTTCCAGCGGCAGGTCGAAGAACTCAGCTACGTCACGCATCAGGTTCCCAATCACTTCATCTGGCACTCCATGGTTGATGAGCTGCGTGCGATTGGTATGGGCGTGCACTGCCGCCGGTTCATCAGTTGCCCTTCGTATACACGCACGGCCATTTTGCAGAATTGAGACAGCGCATGAACCAACGAACGAATTGATGATATGTACTACCTGGAAGAAGCCCCAGTGGTGACATGCGGATTTCAGCTTGGCGCACTCCTCCTCCAACGACCGCGTGTCAAGCAACTTGCGGAGATCCACTACCGGAATCTCCGAATGGCTTCCGCCACCGCCGGCGGCGACGATCTCCTCCGAACCGACCTCCGCCTCCGCGACGAGGTACCTCTCGGGCACCTGCCCATCGATCCCATTGCAAGCCTCCGCGAGCGCCTGCACGTTCGCCACCGGGAGAGCAGACGCGACAGCTCTTGCATTATTCGCCGCCATTGGTCCTGGCACTCCTCCCTTGTTTCTGGCTTTCTGGTTGCTGCCGCTGGTTCTCTCGCCCGCGCCCCCCTTTTTATGACGTGCGCTGCTGATCCTGACGCGCTGAAGTAGTCTGCCATGCCTGCCCTCTTCCTCTTCTGTTGTGAGGACGAGGCTGACATTTGCATGCCATTGACAGAAAAGCAACGGAGGGCGGTGCACGAGTAGTGTTGGCTTCTTCTACCATGCATGATGCATGAGTGTCATTGACTAGAGCACCCATACCCCGGGATTGCACCAAATTAAAATTTCTCCACATCCATTCAGGGCACGGCCCGTACTCCCGTCTCCAGTCGCCACACGCATGGCACGCAGCCTGACAACACTCTAGCGACTTTTGCTTGGATGGATGGAGTTGGCTGCCGGCCGGAGTTTCTTGTGTGCAATTTTGCTCGTCTGCCAAGGCAGGGTCCGATCATATTGTCTGACGGATGACCGAAGCTGACGCGCGCGCACCGTACCAAGATAGTCATGGGCGGGAACGTGAAGAAACCGGTGCTTTCTCGTTTTTCATGTGCGTGGTACCTACCTGCTGCCAAGACTGAGAGCGTGTTTGGTTAATTCCTAGCCCCGGTCTACGGTGCACCGCGGCAGCACCATACTTGTAGGTGAAAAGATAATATTATGAAAGATGTGGTTAATTCGAGTGAGGGTTGATATATGTAGGTTTAGGATTAGACCTAGGCCTGCATATGTCATGTGGTAAGAAAACCCCAGCTGGGCCTAATCAATTCGAATCGTCTTGCTCCTCGGTTATGGAGACTCGATCAACTACCCTGCATCATAGTTTAATCTATGAAACATGGTTACTCTGGATAGGAGATGGTATAAGATGAGATGAGATGATTAATGAAGTGATTGAGCTAGATCAGGTGTAAACTGGAGACTTCTAATTACTTAACTCGAAGCTACAATATTGAAAGTATGGATCCACTGGTAGTAAGCTTTTCTATAAAAGTTACTTCTTGCTTCTATCTTTCCTTTAAACGTGCATACCCTTGGAGTCTTTCCTTTTAGTCGGGTAAGACTTGTTGAGTATCCTCAAATACTCAGGGTTTGTTAACCCTTGTTGTAGGGTCTGACTTGTGCTGCTAAGTGAGGTCATGTCGGTGGGCTTGACATGATATGGCTGTCTCCTAAGTTGCATTCCGTAGTTCTACTCACCTTTTAGAACTTAAGTTAAGTTTTTACTTGAACATGTTTTGTATAATCTTGTAAATCTTCCGCACTCTGATGTAAGTTATTTTTGTATCAACTGTTGTAATGTTGTGGTAAATCCATGTTGATCTTGTATGAGTTGTAAAATGTGGATGATTCGGGGTTCTTCGAGGACACCCGACATACTACCTAAGTTATCTGGCTCTCATGTGCAGTAGTCAGAGGTCTTTAGGACAATGACATATGCATGTGGGCCATATAATTTGGGTGGTTCTGCCATAGCTGGTATCAGAGCTTATACATGGATCGACTACAACATTACTTTTGAAAACTTTAAAATAATTTTGACAATAAAAAGTTTTTGGAAGGCAACAAATTAAAATGTTCTTTAATCTCTCTTATGCTTGCTGTCGAAGTCTCGTGAAGACTTTCTAGTGACTTAAGTAGAAGACGATGAAAAGTTTCAACACTTCCTCAGCAAGCAATGTGAAGAGTCAAACTTCTCTAACAATACTCTGTCTAGTGCCATTCAACATCTCGGCTGGTTCAGTGAGGATATAGTTTAAAGTATTGCCCTATATAAATAACTTGTATCCAGCTAACGTTGTGAAGACGTATAGATGAGCATGCATCATATCATCCATATAAGGTTAAATGATGATCAAAATTCCTCCTTTCAATCTGGGACAACTATTCTTCTTTATAGCTGTTTCCTTTCAATGAATCTCGTCATGTACCAAGTTTTGCCAATTAACAACCTTTTATATTCTCGCTCCATAAGTTTCTAATCCTTGGGGAAACTCTGGATGTACTTAATATACCCCACCAACTCAATACAGAAACCTGGGACTGATCCTTGACTTCTTAACCTATGCATGTATCGTGTCTTGGTTTGTTCTATCCTAACACATGCTATTCTCTGGAATTTGATAACCGACATGTGTTGGTTGAAAGCTATTGAAATTTTACTCTATGGTGGTACCGTGATCCGTGACCTCGGTGCGACGTTGAAACCTGCGGTCTCCTGTGGCTCGCGACCATAAGGAAGTACTGCTAAGCGCTCGCTAATGTCGAGGTCTGTGTTCCGGATCCATTATAGCCCACAATTAATGTGCTTTCCTCTCCTAAGAACCTCTTTTGGAAATTCATGTCCATGCTTCTCCTGGATTTCCTAATCGATTGTCACTTGCAACAATCTTTCAATCTCGGTTGTAATCTTTGAACCAACCTTTGTTGCTTTATGAACTTCTTACAAGTTAATGTGCTTGACACATTTCCTTTTCCATTACTTAACCCAAGGTCTTTGACACTCCATAATCTTAGGATGATATTTCTTTAAGAGGGGGGGTGATTATAACATCCCAGATGTTAAAAAAGCAGTTAAAACTTGATCATGAGCATCATCCAGCATAATCACCAAGTATCATGTCATGTATGCACTCCATGTTTCATTTATAGTATTGCTATGTTGCATATATATATGATGTTTCATATGTTGCATGAAATGTTAACAACATTAATGATTAAGGCTCTTTATGAATTTATAGAATAATAATTGCTTAAACAATTAAAATTTTGTCAAAAAAACTTTGTAGTACAAAGTGTGCTCTTTAATGTAGAATAAAAAATTGATGATGTTTTTGAATTAAACATATTAAATTTGAGTTTCAAGAATTGAATTTGAATGTTGTTTCCCTCACTTGGCATTTTTGGCTAAGTCCTGAAAACAACAATTAAGTCCAATTTTGGGGATTTATTAAATCAATTTCCATGAATAAAATCTGTCCAACTTTTGTTGCTTTGATTGGTAGAATGCTTGAACTTGGTTACTGTGTAATTAGATGCAATGGTTGAATCATGTTTTGCCTCTAATTAATTCCCAAGTTTTCTAACCAAAATCAATTTTCAAAACCTTAACTGAAACTCTGCTTTCAGTTTCAAAGTGTTAATCTTTCGCTTTGAAAATCTTCAAAACCAGAGACCTGTTGATGTCGGCTCTTTTAGCAAAGCTGTAGATCATGGATGGACGAACAAATCTTTTAATGGAGATCAACAAGTTTCTATTTGGAATCGGGAAAACAAGAGTGAGGAAGTTGAGGTTTCAGACGTTGAACAGTGGCCTCGCCGGCAGCAGCTTCGCTGCCACGCAGCTGTTTGCCGCCGACCGCCTATACCGCTCTCCGTGCGCACGACGCGCACCTGCTTCGCGGTGGCACGTTCAAGCAGGAGCTGGAGCACCTGAAAGCCGCGCCCCGCAGTCAGTGGCGAAGCTAGAGCGAATCAAAGGGTGGTGCGCTTGTTAGATAGATACTTGAATTTGTGTTGCAAACATGGTAAAATTTTGAATATAGTATTGGATTTTCGTTTTTCTATGGGTGCAGCTGCACCCACAACCCATGACGTAGCTTCGCCGCTGCCTGCTGTTATAAGCACAGCCCGGCCGCCGTCTCCATCTTTTTCTCTTTCTCGCCGACGCCGAGCTCCTCCCGTTCGTCGGCAAATTCGTCGTGCCTGCTTCGCCTTAGTCCTTTTTCTCTCGCACGCAGCATCGCCTCGCCCTTGAGCGTCGCCTACACCCGCTCGCTTTGCCTCTGGCCGCTAGAGTCAGCCACGCATCGTCGTTCTTCCTCGTGACCGTCCAGAGCGCCACCGCGTACCCCTCCGCCGTGGCTAGGCCACACTGGAGCAGATTTCGCGCTTTAGTTTGTTGTTTTAGTCTCCTTGCAAGCCGGTGATGCTCATCGACCCATCGTTTTCCTTGTTCCATCGCAGGACATGCCAGAACGCGACCCTCGCCGCCAGTTCGCGCCGCCGTTGCCGCTGGCAGCCGTGTCCATGCCATCCCTGTCTCAACCGAGTAGCCGACCGAAGTTGCGGTGAGCCGCTGAAGCTAATCCCGTGCTCCAATTGGACTCTACCATGCCGGAGTAGCCAGTCCGCCGCCGCGCTGCTGTGTTCTGTGCCGCCATCCGCCATGGCCTAGTCCGAGGACACGCGGAGCCCTAATTTGTTCAGTTGATAGCTTAGACAGGTCCGCGTTGGTGTGGGGAGCGTTCTAGTGACCTCCCCGTCACCGCTAACCTCGCCGTCGATGTGTTCCGCCGCACCAGAGCGCCGCCGTCCGCCATAGCCTCAGCCGTGCTTGCTCCAGAACCCTAGGTGCCTAGCTAACCACCAGAGTGTGCGTGCGTGATGGAGAGGGACTCGCCGGGGTAAGTCCCGTCGCTGGAGTCCTCGTCGACGACGAGCACCCACCGGTCAAACTGTCGGGAGTCGCAGTCAACGCGGGCGTCTCGCCTGTCAGTGACGGTGGGTAAGGGGTGACTGGGTGAGAAAAGGTTTTGCGCAGAAAACGATTTATTCTTTTTCAGTAAATGTTTAAAAGTGTTGATTCTTGTTAATTTCATAACTAAATAATCTGAGCTTCTAAAATTATGAAAACTTTGGTGTAGCCTTCTTATCATGTGCTCTACTTAGAAAAAAATATGAGTTAAGCATTTTCAGTAGTTTTGATATGCTTAAAAATTATCTCTTTTGATTAATAAATGTACCTTCTATGTTTTTTTATAGACTAAAATATTAATCCTTTAATCATGAATTTTTTTGTGTATGCTTTACATGATAATGCCTGCCTTCACAAAAAAGTTTGATACTATTTTGATGAAAATAAATTGTCCACTTAATTCAAATGCTTTTTATGGGTTAATAAAAAAAATCAAAATGATTTCTATTAATCCTTAAATGAATTGAGTGTATTTTATATTTTGTTTCTAGACCTTGGAACACTAATCCCTTTGCTATTCCTTGGCAATTTAATGTTCTTCATGTTACGCTTATAATTAACTTGTTAGTTAATGCATGTAATTAGGTCATGTAATGATCCTTGTTTATCCTCATGGGTGAACTTGTGTAATGTTAGTTACTGATTCCGGTAGCGACGTTACCCCTACTCATGTTACCACGTACACACACGCACGCATGCTAACCACTACAGTCTAACCACGTAGACACGCTAATAATCACATACACACATGCAATTCCTATCACATGCAAAATCAATGAAGTGTATAAATTTACATACAAAATAATGGTAATCAAAATATATCAAGTACAAAGTTATAAAATAAAAAAATACTATATTAGTCAGATCAGCATGCATCAATCAAATCTAGAAAAAAGATTTTTATATCTAAAACTTTCTTTATTTATCCTATTTTATAAAATAAAAAGTTAAATAAATATACATTTCATCTAGGTAACAGTTGATGGTGACCGTCGGATCAAAATAAATAAACGGCTCACAGTCATTTAGAAGTACCATGACAAAGCCCTACTGTATTAGGCTGCAAAATTTTGAAGACGACCGTGCATGCTGGGCATGGCAAGCTAGGCCACCTGAAGGGTGCCGGGAGGGTAGGCTAGAAGCGCAGGTCCCTGGACTCGCAGGGTGTTTGATCCGGCTACTAAAATTTAGGAGGTGTGTCGGGAGGATGTTATATGGGGTGTTCGGATACTAATAAAAATAAATTACATAATTCGTCAGTACTCCACGAGACGAATTTTTTAAGCCTAATTAATTCGCCATTAGCACATATTTACTATAGCAAACATTGTCAAATCATGGACTAATTAGGCTAAAAAGATTCGTCTTGTAAATTAGTCGCAAACTATATAATTAATTTTGTAATTAGTCTATATTTAATACTCCATGTCCAACCTCCGATGGGACAAAATTTAAGATGGGTAACCTTCTGAACCTCGGAAACAGCGAACGCCTGCCCGTAACCTTCGACGCTGTCGTGTTGTTTTGACCATTCCTTCTTGGCTTCTAGTGGCAGCTTCAAGAACTCAGCTACGTCACGCATCAGGTTTCCGATCACTTCGTCTGGTAGTCCATGGTTGATGAGCTGCAAAACTTCGTGATCATTCAGTTATATATGCATGCTGGGCTGCTGGCAGGCGGCAGCATGCAGAGGGGCATGCAAGCACATGGACAAACGAGTGGATCCATCATGCATGGATACCTGGAAGAAACCCCAGTCGTGGCAGGCAGATCCAAGCTTGGCACACTCCTCCGGCGATGACCGCGGGTCGAGCAACCTACGGAGATCGATGATTGGGATCGCCGAAGCCCTATCGGCGACGACCTTCTCGGTCTCAGAGCCAGCGTCGACGATGAGGTACCTCCCAGGTACCTGCCCGTCAGTCCCGTTGCAAGTTTCTGCGAGGGCCTGCACGTTAGGGACCAGGAGAGACCCGGTGCTCCTTGCTTCCGCCATTGCTCTGCTACTACCTCTGGCTCAGTTCCTCAATCCTCACCAACCGATCGAACTACTTCGTTTGTGCTCCTACTGCTGCTGGTGCCCTCGACCTTTAAGGAGGGAGCGGAGATGCTTCGTTCCTGGCCTGTGCTGTTGATGCTGACATATCAATGGCGTGTCTGAGAAAGTAAAGTTTGCCCTCAAGGGCATGTGCCCTCACATTGTGAACCATTGGATTCGCATCCGAAAAACTGTTCCTCTTCTGATGTTTCTCTCTCTTTTTTTTCGACGCTCACATATGGGCGAGAACGTCAAGAAACAGCTAGTGTGGCGGAGTCAGAGGGAGCGAGACAGGGAACTGAAGGTGGGCGATCGAGTAGCGTCGGCTCTTCTTCTTCTTATTAGGCATGCTATGCTACCAGCTTACCACCTATATATGTAGTATATATAGACAAAATCAAATATCTATGACGACACCGATGACACTAAGCATTTTCTCGACTCCTCATTTACCTACACCACTCGCCGTTTGACAACGCACGCAGCGGCAGAGCTAGGATTCAAAGTTTCGGACGTAGAGAGGTACAGGAGATGGAAAAGGCTCAAGCGGTTGGTTTGTCTTGTCTACCTTTTCTTCCTCTGATAATTAGTACAAATATCCCCTGTCCCCATCCGTCAAGCAAACTATAAAAATCGATGAAGATTTAACAATTTTTCATAAATTTTGGGTTTTTTTCTCAGTTATCCTCACGCAGCTCTGAGCAATGGAGGAGTACCAAGCAAGTTTCTCTTGTACCCTTTGTCAGTTTTCGTGAGGTTGTTGGATGCAAACTCGATCAAACAAATTCATACTTTTCATCTAATTAGTTATTGTATTTTTTTTTTGCCACGTGTTAAATTTAAGCTCTAGTGCTTGTTGAGATAAGATGGTGTGTCATGGACAATGAGTTGTCAAGGTGAGATGACTGAGATTTCGTTGAGTTGGTGGGTTTAGCATGACTTGGACTGACCAAGAGATGTCAAGTTGGCGTGTGTTGTGCAACATGTCACTTGCCTGACTTATAAATGTGCATGTGTTGGATGCATCAAGGTGGACGACGCCAATGGATAAGGTGAAGCAAGAAGTTCGGGTCGATGGGCCACGGGTGGTGAAGGCCGAACACATAAGCTTGGACCAATAGACCGGAGGACGCATCAATAACGATGGTTAGCAGTTGGCGCCGTAGCGACTAGCAAGAGCACATGCGAGATGGTGATGATGATGACATTGACCGAAGTCAAAACCAGGGTTGGACCAAGTCAATGCAAGGTGTCATGAGCACTTGGTGGATTGCCACACCAAGAATATGAAGGACACGCGTCGATATTGGAGGTTGCTTTTCAAGTTTGGGCCTCAAAACCTGGGAGATCTTAGGACTTCACGAAGGGGCCATGGCCATTCAATACATGGAAGACCAACTTGGAACATTTTGCCCCTGTTGGCTAAGTTGTTTATGTCTAAACCTAATATTATTCTTGTAATGTGTAATAACCCTCTATAAATAAGACAGGAAGCTGCCCAAGACAGCTATCCTTCCACCATTTGTTTATTTTCTAGGGTTAATCAAGAGCTCTAAATTAAAGATTAGAGGAGTTAGGCTAGAGAGTGATTCCCTCTTAGGCTAGTTTGTCACCAAAGTGGAAGAATGTTGGGAGGAAGACTAATCTGATGTGTAGATTAAGTCATGGTTGAATTGAAGTAATGAAACTCTTGTTTAAATCATCTCTTATGTGCCATTTCTTTTGAATCCATTGGTTTTTCTTTTTTTAAAAAAATTATGTCACATTCTCTTGGTGATTTTTGGAGCGGTGATAGATCTGAGTTCTTGGAAGGTTTTGAAATGTTTCTTGGAGCCTTTGGAGATGAGTACATGATTCGATTAATAACCCCAAATCCCTATTTTTCTTCTTCAAAATTCTTCCTTTGGTGAAATTCATAATTCCTTTGAGCTAGGTGGTTTTGGTTGTTTCTTATGCTCAATCTTGGTGCTATGAGGTCATGTGAACATATCTAGGCTTGCCTTTTGAAAGGATCAAGATGCCTAAGAGGAGGGTGAATTGGACTAACTCTAAATTTCTTTCAATAATTAAGCCATACACTTAGCCCATTTCACCCCCTTGTGACTAGAAGTGTTTCTATTGTTCTACTACATAAAAGTTTTGCACCCTAGGTTCCAATCCTACTCTAGCATGGCAATTCTAAGAATGTAAAGATATGAATTGAATTACTAAAATATAAATGCTCAAAGTACAGAGAAGGAAAGAAACACGGTGATGTTTTTCCGAGGTATCAGAGAGTCGTCACTCCCCACTAGTCCTCGTTGGAGCACTCGCGCAAGGGTGTAGCTCCCCCTTGATCCGCACAAGGATCAAGTGCTCTCTACAGGATAATTCTTTGATACTCCATCGCGGTGAACACCCACAACCGCTCACACCATAACTTGGGTCATCCACAAGCTCCGTCGGATGATCACCAAGTCTCCAATCATCACCGAGCTGTCTAGGTGATGGCGATCACCAAGAGTAACAAGCACAAACTCTCACTTGACCAAGACAAGCCTAATGAGAAAGGTGGGTGCAGACTTGCTACTCCCTACGCACTAATGAGGTCCTTAATCTTAGATTATCAAATATCAATCACCCCACTAGGCTCTTGCTCTCCCTTGCACTTCAAAGATGTTTCTCAGCTGAACAGATAGGCAAGAGACCTAAGTTGGATGAGTAGGAAAAGTATATATACTCCCCCACTTTAAAACATAATCGTTATTTTCCAACATAGTAGTTTTTGGGGTGACCGGACGCATCGGTCGAAGTGACCGAACGTGTCCAGTCAGTAGCCAACGGCTACGTGGTGTCAGCCTGACAGAGAAGGCTGTTGGAGTGACCTAACGCTGGCCAGCGTCCGGTCAACATCCACCAGACGTGTCCGGTCAGGAATTTTGTTCTCTGGACCCTCTCTGATGTTGACCTGACGCTGCAAACTCAGCGTCCGGTCATTTACTGTTCAGCGTCCGGTCCTCTCTGACAGCGAGACCCTACTGCTACAGATACGACTAGAGGCGCGTCCGATTCCATTCACTGTGCAGCGTTCGGTCGCTCGTTGGCTTCTGCTGTGCGCGCTGATCACTGACCGGACGCAACACATGTGAGTCCGGTTATCACTAAATCAGCGTCCGGTCAACATTTAACCCTTCATTCATTTCTAATTTAAAATCCTTTGTGAATGAGGTTGACTCCAATTGATCTTTGGGCTATTCCTGAGCTACATAGTGCTAAGTTTGACAAGTGTGCATCAAACCTAACCCATTAGACTCACCTAGGTCAAGTTACTAGTTCATACCCCCCCTAATAGTACGGCCAAATGAAAAACAAAGTTCTCAACTACTCCAAGTGTCTCTCCAACGATAAACGACACTTAGAACTAGTCTGTCCTTAACCTTGTCGTCCATCCTTTGAAAATCGAAACGATTTTCATCGATAAGGGCATGAAAACCATAATTGCCCAAACAATCATCATTACCATGACTTAACTCAAGTTGCCTCTGCAAAACACACGTTAGTCACAGTAATCTCGTGTCATCATTAATCACTGAAACCCAACTAGGGGCCTAGATGCTTTCACCTTTAAACAGATTTCCGTGAGCCCCTCCAACTCACTCTTTTGTGCTTTCTTGAGAAAACACCAGAAGAATTCTTCATTACGTGGTGAATCCTAGACCGTTCTGAAAGATCCACGAGATTACCTTCACCATGAGTTAGTTAAGGTCACGATCAGGTTGTGTAATAAATTGATTTACAGAGGCAGGCTTCTTAAATGGGCCATCCGTGTAAACAGAGAACACATTTAAGAACCTCGCGCCTTCACAAATCAATTTACAAAGACGGTCCACTTAAGAAGCCCGCCTCTATAAATCAATTTACAAAGATGGGGCTTTATTGGACTATCTCCTAAAATATGTTGGTTGTCTCTGAAATTGTGTAGATAGTTTGGGAGACACCAAATTTTTTAGACCACCTCAAAATGCCCTACCCCCTAAAATCGGTTTTGTAGTAGTGAACACAATCTTTTTCTGGCATCAGCATGTGGGAGTAAGAGTCGATTAAGTATGTTCTCATAGTTGCCAACACAATTTTATAAAACTAATGTTTACTAGTTCCCTTTTTCATGGTGAAAGGACCATGATGTCGCTAAGGGGGGGGGGGTGAATAGGTGTTTTTGTAGATGTGTTTGGAGATGTCCAGTAGCAACTCCACGAAGCACCTGCACTCACAAACACAGACAACCAAGTATATCAAGTGGAAAGAAAATACTGCAATTCAAAACACAAGAGACACTAGAGATTTGTTTCACCGAAGTTTGGGTTCCCACTTGAACCCTATGTCTCCGTTGAGGTGGCGGTGAGCAACTCACAAAGCTCGTGCTCCTGTCGGGTTCCTCTCAACCACATTCCTCGCCTCCACTAGTTGGTCTTTTCCCTTTTGGGGGCAAGATTATAGCCCTCACAAACTTTCACATGGCTCACCACAAGCACGAGAGTTCGTCGGGCAACGCCTAGCCATCTAGGAGGCTTCCCCTCCAAGAGTAACAAATGTTTCATGAAGTATGATGAAGCCCAACAAGTGCTCAAAGTTTGGCTTCCTCTCAATTGCTCTCTAATTCCAAATCACTCACCATCAACACTTAATCACATACTAATCACTCACTCTCACAAAGAGAGGGGTTGGGGAGAGTCTCATAAAGGCTCTACCATAGGTTGGTTAGCAGGTGATGATCTATTTGGTTGAACTAATTTGGGATGTGTTGGTGATCCATGTGCCCAAGAGGCAATCATATGCGTTATGGATTGGATCTATATGTCCCAAACAGGACATTGATCCATGAGAGTTTTAATAAGCCTCTAGGGTAGAAGTCTATTCATGGAGTCTATATATATATATATATGAGGAGGCAGTGCTAGAGATAAGAGATGGTTCGACCT